AGTGTTGGAACCTGAATTTCACAACTATAACAAGGTTTCCTGCGATGTTGAATGCTGACTTCTTTGTGAAGCAACGGCTTCTTAAGCTTTGTATGTGATGTAGGCCTTTGGTTTCACTTTATTAAATATGGTAGTACTTGACATTAACAAAACCTGGACCAAATAATCGCTAAAGCTATAATCACGCTCAGACTCACAATTAATTTTATTTCAGTTTAACCAGTGCTAACAAAAGGTGGTGCATTGATTGTACAGACACATCCTGCACTGAGTCAAAAATCTCTGACAATCGCCGTTAATAATTCCAAATCCTGCGAGTACCACCATTATACAATAATGTGAAATATTATTAATGTGGGCATGACTCAACATGCAATAAAAAAATTTACTAGAAGTTAATTTATCATAGTCAAGATGACATTTCAGCCAAAACACTTCAACTCATCTTCTTGTTTTATAGAAAACTATAGAAATTAAAACTTTGAAAAGAACATGTATTTAAAGAATTAAAAGAATAACTTTAAATACGCTTTTGATCTCATCAAATTTCTGCCTGAACCAAGAGGCAACCATGCATGGGAAATCATTTACCACAATAGTGTCTTACAGCGTAGCTTTCAAAGATAAAGGATACGAAACAATATTTCAAGCAGCACACAACAAACTATCAAAGATTCCTCCAAAGCAAACTTTCATGCAAGGAACAAGAAAGGAACAAAGAGCGTGATGCATCTAAACAGCAAGGTTTGATAAATAATTGACTCCGTAGGCAAATAGATAAAAAATTCCTCTGATCTCTTCTTCAATATGAATCCTCTTGGTGCTTATTTCAGCAATAAGTCCTCCAATCCTGGCCAATTTATTTTTCATAAACGCATCTTTCTGAGGGGAAGGGGTGGCTGTACATAGGTTACATCATCCACAATTCATTTTTGACTTGTAAACATATCCACTGTGCATGACACTGTGCATGATCTTACAAGAATTCTCACGAGTTAGCTCCTTGATTTTAAGAGCTAAACTGTGATTGGCTAGTAATGTCTTATGTCACAGAAATTGTTTGGCCACTCGGGTTCGCAGACATTACTTTTCGGGTGGAGAGAAGTGACGACCGGCAATACATGTACGTCTGTGTTCGCAGGCTAGGAAAAAAGCTGTTACAGTTCAAAATTGAATTCAGGTTAAATTTTTTTAACCTGGGTTGATTCTCAATTTCCCTGGTCTCCTAGCCCTAATTGTTTAGTTTCAAATTTGTTGCAGCCACTGAATAGAAACACTGAAGACTCATTTATACAGGGTTAGCCTTGACCTAAGGTGACAGTAAAGTCCTTGGAACAACTATGTCTATTGTTTTGTTTATTTATTTATTTTTTACTTTTTTATTTTTAAACTCAAATTCAGGCACCTTCTCACCGGTATTTGTGAATATTTTACTTAAAGGGTCAAAACTGACCCTGTACAAATGAGTCTTTAGTGCCTTTATTCAACAGCCCCAATGAATTCAAAACTGGCTTATTCATAGTTACATTGTAATTTAGTAGACCGATAATCTTCGTTATCTTTATTGTTTCAAGTTGAATTTAGCCTGCAAAAATAGCTGTCTCTCCTCACTCCTTGCTGCTTGGGACTTTTGCCAGGAGGGACATTTGTGCCTCAGCGACAGAAATTCCATACAGATAATGTGAAATCTGTCCGGAATCTGGTGAGGAGCTCTGACTGGTCGGTGTGGTAGTTAAATTGTGTTCAGACAAAAGACAAATGGTTACAAAGGGCAAATGCAAACAATATGAATCTACTAAAAAGCAGTCACTATTTGTGGAATATATTCTTCTTTAGAAAACTTAAAACTTTTGCTGGAGCTCATTCACAGAAGAACACAAAACTTTACCTTAATAGTCTAGGAGACACATAAAATCTTATGACTGCTGGATTAATTATGTAAACATTGATTTACATCATTAGTATGGAATAATTATCTGTAGCTTAGGCACATACATCCTTCATGGCAAAATGCCCCTTCTAGGCAAGGAGCTAGGAGAGATAGCTGTTTTGCAGGTTACAGGTAAGTTAAATCTGATTTTTGACAAAATATAGGAAAGTTTCCTCAGCATGTGCTGCATCCTGAGGCACCTTCAATACGAGTAGTCAGTTGCCTTTGTTTCATGTAACATTACTAAACCTCTGACTACCCTGCTTTAAAACTGGCCTGAATTTCAGACGATTACTTCAATTTTTTTCTCCTCTCAGCAACTGAAGGATTAAAACCAACTCGAAGTAATTGTCTGAAATTCAGGCTAGCTTTAAAACCTTCTTTTACAGTTTTAACATCAGATAATGGCATTAAAAAGGTTAACCTTTTATTCACACGCTCTGTTATGGATTGATTATATGTTGTGGTTCTGGTCTCCAGATACTCTGGCCATCGGTTTGTGACCACCCTCTTGTACTCCATTCTGTTGGGATTCCTAGGCGTGGATCGCTTCTGTCTGGGTCACACTGG